TCCTACCCCCCTTCTTCCCCTTCCCCCCTCATCCCCTACCCCCTACCCCCTCCCTACCACCTCCCACCTCCACGGGATACCCCTCCCATTACCCGCAACCGCCCCCCCCACCCCCACCCCCATTCGTCGAAAAACCTCCACCGAAGCGCAGACTTCTCCCCAAGAGCGACCCGACGCGTCACCCTCGACGAACCGGAGAGGCGGCGACGGCGGCGGCGACGGCGACGGCGAAGGGAGCTCCACCTGAACGCGGCCCGGAGGTCGGTCTCACGCGACGCCGAGTAAACAAACGTGGGATTCGTTTAGGAGTATATAGAAGCCAGACGGACATGAGTTTTTTTTTTTTTTTTTTTTTTTTTTTTGGGGGGGGGTTGTGCGTATGTATGTATGTATGTAGTATGTATGATTGTATGCATATATATATATATATATATTATATATATATATATTATACATATACATATGTAGATATAACATATACACACCACAATATACATATAACCACACAATAAAAAAATAATATAATATAATATATATAATATAATATATATATATATATATATATATATTTATATATATACACAACACACATATTTACATACACACACACACACACATAGACACATCCCCCATACAAAAAACAACCCACACACGGTCCCCAAAATACGTCCCGCCCCCCTCCCCCACCCCCTCCTACCCACCCCCACCACCCTACAACCCCTCCATATTTCAACCGGAAGTACACACCCGCGGGGGAAAAGGGAGGGGGGAGGGAGGGGGGCTTTTCAATCAACCCAGGGCCACCCCCCTTACCCCTCCACCCCCCTCCCCCTACCCCCCCCTTGCCGTCCCCGCTTGCCAACCCGGGATAAATAACACCATAAAATCCGCTGCCAACTTTGACAAAAAATAACAGTATTATAACAGCTGCTACCAATGGAAACAAAAATACTACCAGGAAACATGCAGTTACCACCACTGACAACAAACTACCACCAGGATATCCCCGCTACCACCACTGACAACAGAACGCCCGTCGCAAAACCCGCTACCACCACTGCCAACAAACTACCACCACAAAACCACCGCTTCCACACTGACAACAGACCAACACAAAATCTACTACCACCAGTGACAACAAACTACCACCAGGAGAACCCGCTACCACCACTGACAACAAAACCACCCCACAGCAAAACCCGCTACCACCACTGACAAACAATCTCACCCGTGACGACAAAATAAAAACACCATAACCCACTACCACCACTGACAACAAAACCACCACCTGCCACCCACAAACGGACACCAAACATCGACGCACAAAAACAACTGACACCGAACACTCGTGCCACCGCCGCTGCCAACCGACGGCGAGCGACGATCGTGACTGACACGACGAACACATTGCCATTCAGAACTTGCGCTCACTTCCTCCCTTCTCTTCTCCCTTCTCTCCCTTCTCACATCCCTTCTCGCTTTTCTTTCTCTTTCTCTTCTCTTTCCTTTCTCTTTCTCTCTTTCTCTTTCCTCTTTCTCTTTCTCTTTCTCTTTCCCTTCCTCTTTCTCCCTTTCCCTTTCCCTTTCCCTTTCCCTTTCCCTTTTCCCCTTTCCCTTTCTCTTTCTTCTCTTTCTCTTTCTCTTTCTCTTTCTCTTTCTCTTTCTCTTTCTCTCTCTATCTTATCTCCCTATCTCTATCTCTTTCTCTATCTCTCTTTCTCTCTCCTTTTCTCTTTCTCTCTCTATCTCTTTCTTTCTCTTTCTCTTTCTCTCTCTCTCTCTTCACCCTAACCCTTCCCCTACTTCCCCTACTTCCCCTACTTCCCTTTCCTTCCCCCCTCCTTCCTTATAGCCCTCAAACCACCCCCCACCACCCCCTCCCCTTCCCCCTCCCCCCTCCCCCCACCCCCATCCCCCTCATCCCCTCCCTCCTCCCTCATCCCCTTCCCTCCCCATCCCCCTCATCCCCTCCCCCCTCATCCTCATTCCCCCCTCCCCCTCCCCTCCCCCTATCCCCCTTCATCCCCTACCCCTCCACCCTCATCCCCCTTCCCCCTCCCCCCCACCCCCCCTTCATCCCGCTTCCCTCCCCCTTCATCCTCTTCCCCTCCCCTCATCCCCTTCCCCCTTCCCCCTCAATCCCCTACCCCTCCCCTCCCATCCCCTACCCCTCCCCCTCATCCCCTCCCCCTCCCCTCCCCCCCCCCACCCCCCCTCCCCCCCATCCCCCCTCATCCCCTCCCCCTCATCCCCTTCCCCTCCCCCCTCCCCCTTCCCCTTCCCCCTCCCCCTTCCACGCCCCAGCCCCTTTGCAACGTGTCGCCGTCCCCTGCGGCGCGCCCCCAAGGTCTCCCCCGTCCGGTTGACATTAGAGCGAGGGGGAGGAGGAGGAGGAAGAGGAAGGGGAGAGGGAGGAATAGAGAAGGGGGAGAGGAATAGAGGGAAGGAGGAGAGGAAGAGNATATATTGTGTGTGTATGTGTGTGTGTCTTGTATCATATTCATGAATGATATTTTTGCCAAGTAGAGTCTAGAAGCGACATTACAACACGTGACTCGGAGCACAAACGACTGACCGCCTCGTTGTACAGGTACCGCAGCGTCGTCACGTTCAGGTAGTCCCTCATGACCAGTCCGTTCATGATGAACAGCTTGACGAACTCCACCTTCTCCTCCAGCAGCGCCGTCGTCATGAGGTCCTTCAGGTCCCACGACGCCCAGTTCGACTCGGCCGGGAAGATGTGGTTCTCGGCGATGTCCGGCCGGTCCCACAGGAGGGCGAGGCTCAGCTGCTCCAGGCGCGAGGACTGAGCTCCTCCTGCGGGCGGCCAGACGAGGGAGTGGGTGAAGGAGCGAACGGAATTGGAGAGAAAGTAATAGGATATAAAAAGAAAATATCTGGTTGATACAAAAGTTGGTCAGCAAAGAAGCCAAACCTCATTTTTTAAAATTACCTTTTTATACAATGACGAAAGAAATTGCGACTGCAGGCTACGTTATCTCATTTTATTTTTTATCGTTGACAATCAGATCAAGTTGAATGAAGACCAAGTTGTTTGTACTTGAAATCAGGCCAGGCAAAGGAAAATATTAAAGATCTATGGATCGGATAAGGGCTTTTATATCAGGCTGCAAAATAAAAAGACTACAAAACGATAAAGAAAGGAGTAAAAAACAGATAAGGATAATGAAAGCAAAAGCATAGGTAAATAAAGAAGATAATTTAATAGGTAAATATATAAAACATGAAGAATAAAAAGGGCTTTCGAAATGAGTCTCTTAAGACTTAACCAGAAGCACTGGATCTTAACAGTCACCGCCCAAAGTCCTTACTCCAATACGCTTAACGCCTCCATTACACTAAACACAAATGGCAAAACGCAACGAAATCGAAGCCATCTTTCCGTTATCTCGCGGACCCACTCGCCGAAATGGATAACGAGTAACGTCATCCGCAGATCATATATCTATTTCATTCACAGCGAAGAAACAGTCAACTGAGCTAAAGACCCCAAGAGACGTGCTTACGAAGATGAAACGAAACATTTGGGAAAAATAAAGAAAATCTATAAGCCACGACATTCTGACCCAGACTCCATGCTCTTCTTCGGACGGCAAAATCACGGCGCGGAGCTTATAGAGTAACTCGAAATTCGAAACTACTTCTTCGTGACATATTATAATTTCCTTTTTTATTAATTTTTCTATTCATTGCCTTAATCCCTAGTGGGGTCGGCCATTCAAATACTGCCTCAAAGTTGGGCTCTCTTGTGCAACCTCTTCTAAGTTTAGCTTCCTAAGGTCTTCCTACACTTTTCTTTCCATCCGCTCCTTTGCCTTGTAACTGGTCGTCGTCTTTATCATTTTCTTTATTACTGTGATCCTACACTTTTTCTTTCCATCCCCTCCTTTGCCTTCCAATTCATCATCTTTATCATTTCTTCATTACCTCTTTCATTTCACACACCTGATAGTAACGCATAGAGGATACAGTGGTCGAGCCCCTCTCCGCAGTCGATGTCGAAGGTGATGATCATGTTGGCCCTCGCGCAGCACTCCAAGACGTAGTCCGCGCATTTCTGTAACGTGAAAGGAATCATAATTATGGACGACTGTGAATGGGTATGTGAAGTCTGTTCATGAAAGGATGTCGATACCGGTAGGAAGTTCATGTGGGTAAGGAAAGTTTAAGAGAAGCTGGGAAAGAAAGGTGATGAAGCATTGAAATTGGATCAATTAAAAAAGGACAAGAAGGATTTAGAGTGAAGTAGATGGTGCCAGTAGATGTGCCTCACCCTCTGCTTCTCCGTTTTGCCTTGGAGTTCGGTCATGGCGGCGAGGATCTTGGTCATCAGCTGCGTGACGTATTGCCTTCGCAGGATGTACCGACCACTGAGGGAGCGGCCTTGCGTTAGTCTGGCCTTCTTTGTGTGATTGTACGAAGCTATATGTAGTTATTTAATAATGTCAGCATCTCAGAAGGATATACTACACACACACAAACACAGCCCCAGTCCACAGGCGTTCTCACCACTTGGGTCAACACACATCTATCAGTTCCCTTCCCCCCTTCCCCATCCACCCCTTCCCTCTCCCTCCTTCGCCCATCCTCACCCCCCCCCCCGTCCATCTGATCCCTCCCTAACCATCACCCCCTCCTTTCCCCGACCCGCCGCCCACCCACCTCGCAGTTCGAACCGTCATGGACACGGCGTACGCGAGGAGGTCGGCCGCCCGCCCCGTGCCGCCCACGACCACCACGGGGATGTTCTTCTTCAGCGCCATGGCACACTTGCCCAGGGCGCCGAGGCCTCCCTCGAGCAGCACCACGACCACGGGAATGCCCAGGCCCGTGGGTTCCTCCGCCTGGATGGCCTCCTCCAGGCGGGTCCTGTGAGAAAAGCCAAACAAGATCAGTGACGTGCTTAAAGAACATATCATCATGACCGATACTATTAAACCAATCCTTTATTTCTACTACTATACCAATCCTTTACCAATACTATTATACCAATCCTTTATTTCTACTACTATACCAATCCTTTACCAATACTATTATAGCAATCCCTTATCTCTACTACTATACCAACCCTTTATCTCTACTACCATACCAATCTTTTATCTAGTTATCCATATTCCCTAAACTGACCTGAAATTGACGGTGCCGTTGAAGTGGTCGCGGGTCCCGTCGTCCACCATCAGGAAGTGGGTGTGGTCGCCGTCCAGGGAAGTGGGCTCGTCTTGGCTCGTCCGCTCCTGGACTTTGTACCTGAAGGAGGCGGAGGGGGAGGAGGAGGTGAGAGGGGGAGGGGAGGAGGGGGAGGAGGAGGAGGAGGAGGGGGAATGGGGGGGGAAGGGGAGGAGGAGGAGGAGGAGGAGGGGGAATGGGGAGGGGGAGGAGGAGGAAGAGGGGGGGAAGGAGAAGCGGAGGAGGGGAGAGAGGAGAGGAGAGGAGGGAAGACAGGAAGAAGGCGGAAGAGGAGGAGGAGGAGGATATAGAAGAAGTTGGAGGGGTGGAAGAGGAGGAGGAGGAGGAGGAGAAAAAGAAGCGGGTACAAGGAGGCAGAAAAGAGGGAAGAGAGAGGAGGAGGAGGAGGAGAAAGTGGAGGAAGAAAAAGAGCAGGAGGAGGAGGAAGAGAAAAAGGAGGGGGAGGAGGAGGAAGAGAAAGAGGAGGGGAAGGAAGCGAAAGTAAAGGAAGCAAAAGAGGAGTAAGATGTGCAGAGAGTGGAGGAAGAGAAATAGTAGGAGGAGGGGAGGAGAAGAAGAAAAAAGAAGCGGGTGCAAGGAAGTAGGAAAAAGGGACGGGAGAGGAGGCGGAGGAGGAGGAAGAGCAAGGAAGATTGATAGGAGGAGAGGAGAAGCGGGCAAGAAGAAGGAGAATGAAGAAGGAAGAAAGGATGGAGAGGAGGGATAGGGAGGAGGAGAATGGGGAGGAAAGAGGATGAGAACGGAAAGGGAAGGAGGAAGGGAGATGAGGAAGTAGAAGAGGAAAAAGAACAAAAACAAGAAGAAGCAAATGACGAAGAAGAAGAGGAGAAAGAGGAAAAGGAGGAGATGGATTAGGGGAAGAAGAAACAGGAATAAAAACAATAAGATGAGCCAAATATGAAGAAGCACAAACAAAACTCTTTTAACCCAGAAACCATAACCCAAATCAACAGCATTCAACCCCCATTTAACCCCAAAACCTAGAGACCTTACACAGGAGTCAACGAGACATAGCTGGCACAGGCCGGGCCACTCTAGAGACTCTAGACTTCGCAAATCTAACTAAGCTGAACTGAGGCCATTACCTCACTTCCTCAAATTCATTCAGATCGGAGTTGAGGAGGAGATGCCTGTCCCTCACGAAGCCCCAAGGAAGCACCCCAAGACAGCGGATTCCTCTGACTAGGTACTCTTGCGTCTGCGAGGTCAAAGGTCATGGAAAGGTAAGGAGAAGAGGGCAAGGTCAAGATAGGTTATATAATAGGGCTCAGAAGGATATGATGCATGCTAACAGATCTTAAAGTCTATCATATTTTGATGTTTTTTCCTATAGGTGTAAAATATACTACGGGCACAATATTAAATATTTATGGAACTTACCTCCGAAAATAATTCCTTTCGCTTGACCTGATGATAGTTAAAACGAATTATTATACGGATCTTTTTTAAATTTAATTCGGTAACAATACTCTTCTTTACTATTGTATATACTATTGTATATATGTGTACACGCACACACACACACACACACATATCTATCTATCTATCTATATCTATCTATCTATCTATCTATATCTATCTATCTATCTATATCTATATATATATATATATATATATATATATATATATATATATATATATATATATATATATATATATGTATGTATGTATGTATGTATGTATATCACTTGACAATAAAAGATAGCTACATGTGTTAGGCAATAAAAGCCAAAAGCTATGAGCTCTCTGTGGAAGTAGCTTAAGGAAACGCTCGGGGCAAGGAAAAGCAGAACCAAAACAGAACTGACCGAACGAACTCTAGGTAAAAGCATCTAAATACACAACTATCAATGGGACGTGATATGACCTTACCTTGACAATGTACTGGCTTTCGTTGACAGCCTCGCCCACGATCCTGCTCACGCCCAAATGCAAGCCGCCCGTGAGGATCCAGGCACCAGTGGATTTGACGGCCTGCAGGTCAGATATTTTAGCATTAAATTGATATATTACAGGATGTTCGATAATTGCAATGGGATCATAATGATGATAATGGACATGGGCATGAGCAATACTAACACATCCACAGAAAACTCTCTCTCTCTCTCTCTCTCTCTCTCTCTCTCTCTCTCTCTCTCTCTCTCTCTCTCTCTCTCTCTCTCTCTCTCTCCTCTCTCTCTCTCTCTCTCTCTCTCTCTCTCTCTCTCTCTCTCTCTCTCTCTCTCTCTCTCTCTCTCACTATCTCTCCCTCTCCCTCTCTCTCTCTCTCTCTCTCTCTTCTCTCTCTCTCTCTCTCTCTCTCTCTCTCTCTCTCTCTCTCTCTCTCTCTCTCTCTCTCTCTCTCTCTCTCTCTCTCTCTCTCTCTACTCTCTCTCTCTCTCTCTCTCTCTCTCTCTCTCTCTCTCTCTCTCTCTCTCTCTCTCTCTCTCTCTCTCTCTCTCTCTCTCTCTCTCTCCCTCTCTCTCTCTCTCTCTCTCTCTCTCTCTCTCTCTCTCTCTCTCTCTCTCTCTCTCTCTCTCTCTCTCTCTCTCTCTCTCTCTCTCTCTCTCTCTCTCTCTCTCTCTCTCTCTCTCTCTCTCTCTCTCACTATCTCAATCTCTCCCTCTCCCTCTCTTCTCTCTCTCTCTCTCTCTCTCTCTCTCTCTCTCTCTCTCTCTCTCTCTCTCTCTCTCTCTCTCTCTCTCTCTCTCTCTCTCTCTTTCTCTCTTTCTCTCTTCTCTCTCAATCTCTCTCTCAATCTCTCTCTCCATCTTTCATCCCTATCACCACTCGCACCACTCTTTTCTCCATCCCCTCACCACCCTTTATCCCTTACACTATCCTCACCACCTTTCACCTCGTATCAGCATCCTTTCCTTCTTTCCATCACCACCTCTCACCTCATCACCAACCTCATCGCCCTGACTTTCATCACCCTCATCACCAACCGCTTCATCACCACAACCAACCTCATCACCCCCATCACCACCAGCCTCATCACCTTCAACACCACCCACCTCACCACCCTCATCTCCTTGACCTTCATCACCACCAGTCTCATCACCTTCAACACCCCCACCTCACCACCCTCATCACCCTGACCTTCATCACCACCAGTCTCATCACCTTCAACACCACCCACCTCACCACCCTCATCACCCTGACCTTCATCACCCTCATCACCGCCACTCATCACCTTCAACACCACCCCACCTCACCCCTCATCACCCTGACCTTCATCACCACCAGTCTCATCACCTTCAACACCACCCACCTCACCCCTCATCACCTGACCTTCATCACCCTCATCACCACGAGTCTCATCACCTTCAACACCACCAACCTCACCACCAGTCTCACCACCTTCAACACCACCACCTTCCACCCTCATCACCACCTTCATCACCCTCATCACCTTCAGCACCACCCACCTCACCACCCTCATCACCCTCACCTCATCACCCTCATCACCTCAGCACCACCCACCTCACCACCCTCATCACCCTGACCTTCATCACACCCTCATCACCTTCAGCACCACCCCACCTCACCACCCTCATCACCCTGACCTTCATCACCTCATCACCTTCAGCACACCCACCTCACACCCTCATCACCCTGACCTTCATCACCCTCATCACCACCACCTCATCACCTTCATCACCACCCAGACCTTCATCACCCTCATCACCCTCATCACCATCACCATCATTCACTTCAACCACCCACACCCACCCTCATCATCATCACCCTTCATCACCACCAGACCAGACACTCTCTTTCATCAGCCTCATCACCTTCAACACCACCACCTCACCACCCTCATCACCCTGACCTTCATCACCCTCATCACCTTCAGCACCACCCACCTCACCACCCTCATCACCCTGACCTTCATCACCCTCATCACCTTCAGCACCACCCACCTCACCACCCTCATCACCCTGACCTTCATCACCCTCATCACCTTCAGCACACCCACCTCACCACCCTCATCACCCTGACCTTCATCACCCTCATCACCTTCAGCACCACCCACCTCACCACCCTCATCACCCTGACCTTCATCACCCTCATCACCTTCAAGCACCACCACCTCACCACCCTCATCACCCTGACCTTCATCACCCTCATCACCTTCAACACCACCCACCTCACCACCCTCATCACCCTGACCTTCATCACCCTCATCACCACCAGTCTCATCACCTTCAACACCACCCACCTCATCACCCTCATCACCCTGACCTTCATCACCCTCATCACCTTCACACCACCCACCTCACCACCCTCATCACCCTGACCTTCATCACCCCATCACCTTCAACACCACCCACCTCACCACCCTCATCACCCTGACCTTCATCACCCATCACCTTCACACCACCCACCTCCCACCCTCATCACCCTGACCTTCATCACCCCATCACCTTCAACACCACCCACCTCACCACCCCTCTCACCCTGACCTTCATCACCCTCATCACCTTCAACACCACCCACCTCACCACCTCATCACCCTGACCTTCATCACCCTCATCACCTTCAGCACCACCCACCTCACCACCCTCATCACCCACCTTCATCAGCCCCATCACCTTCCACCACCCACTCACCACCTCATCACCCTGACCTTCATCAGCCCCATCACCTTCAACACCACCCACCTCACCACCCTCATCACCCTGACCTTCATCACCCTCATCACCTTCAGCACCACCCACCTCACACCCTCATCACCCTGACCTTCATCACCCTCATCACCTTCAACACCACCCACCTCACCACCCCTCATCACCCTGACCTTCATCACCCTCATCACCTTCAGCACCACCCACCTCACCACCCTCATCGCCCTGACCTTCATCACCCTCATCACCTTTCAGCACCACCACCTCACCACCCTCATCACCCTGACCTTCATCACCCTCATCACCTTCAACACCACCCACCTCACCCACCTCATCACCCTGACCCTTCATCACCTCATCACCTTCAGCACCACCCACCTCACCACCCTCATCACCCTGACCTTCATCACCCTCATCACCCTTCAAGCACCACCACCTCACCACCCTCATCACCCTGACCTTCATCAGCCCCATCACCTTCAACACCACCCACCTCACCACCCTCATCACCCTGACCTTCATCAGCCCCATCACCTTCAACACCACCCACCTCACCACCCTCATCACCCTGACCCTTCTCACCTCATCACCACCAGTCTCATCACCTTCAACACCACCCACCTCACCACCCTCATCACCCTGACCTCATCACCCTCATGCACCACCCACCTCACCACCCTCATCGCCTGACCTTCATCACCCTCATCACCTTCAACACCACCACACCTCACCACCCCTCATCACCCTGACCTTCATCCACCCTCATCACCACTCATCACCTTCAACACCACCCCACCTCACCACCCTCATCACCTGACCTTCATCACCCTCATCACCTTCAACACCACCCACCTCACCACCCTCATCACCCTGACCTTCATCACCCTCATCACCTTCAGCACCACCCACCTCACCACCCTCATCACCCTGACCTTCATCACCCTCATCACCTTCAGCACCACCCACCTCACCACCCTCATCACCCTGACCTTCATCAGCCCCATCACCTTCAACACCACCTCACCACCCTCATCACCCTGACCTTCATCACCCTCATCACCTTCACACCACCCACCTCACCACCCTCATCACCTGACCTTCATCACCATCACCTCAACACCCCCACCTCACCCCCTCATTCACCCTGACCTTCAAACACCACCCACCTCACCCCCTCATCACCCTGACCTTCATCATCACCACCAGTCTCATCACCTTCACCACCTCATCACCCTCATCACCCTGCCACCACCTCATCACCCTCATCACCCTGACCTTCATCACCCTCATCACCTTCAACACCACCCACCTCACCACCCTCATCGTCCTGACCTTCATCACCCTCATCACCTTCAGCACCACCCACCTCACCACCCTCATCACCCTGACCTTCATCAGCCCCATCACCTTCAGCACCACCCACCTCACCACCCTCATCACCCTGACCTTCATCACCCTCATCACCTTCAGCACCACCCACCTCACCACCCTCATCACCCTGACCTTCATCACCCTCATCACCTTCAACACCACCACCTCACCACCTCATCACCCTGACCTTCATCACCCTCATCACCTTCAACACCACCCACCTCACCACCCTCATCACCCTGACCTTCATCACCTCATCACCTTCAACACCACCCACCTCACCACCCTCATCACCCTGACCTTCATCACCCTCATCACCTTCAACACCACCCACCTCACCACCCTCATCACCTGACCTTCATCACCCTCACCTTCCACCACCCACCTCACCGCCCTCATCACCCTGACCTTCATCACCCTCATCACACCATCATCACCTTCAACACCCACCCACCCACCACCCTCATCACCCTGACCTTCATCACCCTCATCACCTTCAGCACCACCCACCTCACCACCCTCATCACCCTGACCTTCATCACCCTCATCACCTTCAGCACCACCCACCTCACCACCCTCATCACCCTGACCTTCATCACACCCCTCATCACCTTCAGCACCACCCACCTTCACCCTGACCATCACCACCACATCACCTTCACCTCACCTCTCATCACCCTGACCTCATCACCTCATCACCTTCAGCACCACCCACCTCACCACCCTCATCACTGACCTTCATCACCCTCATCACCTTCAGCACCACCTCACCTCACCCTGACCTTCATCACCCTCATCACCTTCAGCCACCACCCACCTCACCACCTCATCACCCTGACCTTCATCACCCTCATCACCTCAGCACCACCCACCTCACCACCCCTCATCACCACCAGTCTCATCACCTTCAGCACCACCCACCTCACCACCCTCATCACCCTGACCTTCATCACCCTCATCACCTTCAGCACCACCCACCTCACCACCCCTCATCACCCTGACCTTCATCACCCTCATCACCTTCAGCCACACCCACCTCACCACCCTCATCACCCTGACCTTCATCACCCTCATCACCTTCAGCACCACCCACCTCACCACCCTCATCACCCTGACCTTCATCACCCTCATCACCTTCAGCACCACCCACCTCACCGCCCTCATCACCCTGACCTTCATCACCCTCATCACCTTCAGCACCACCCACCTCACCACCCTCATCACCTCAGCACCACCCACCTCACACCCTCATCACCCTGACCTTCATCACCTTCAACCACCACCCACCTCACCACCCTCATCACCCTGACCTTCATCAGCCCATCACCTTCAACACCACCCACCTCACCACCCTCATCACCCTGACTTCATCACCCTCACACCTTCAGCACCACCCACCCACCACCCTCATCACCCTGACCTTCATCACCCTCATCCACCTTCAGCACCACCCACCTCACCACCCTCATCACCCTGACCTTCATCAGCCCCATCACCTTCAACACCACCCACCTCACCACCCTCATCACCCTGACCTTCATCACCCTCATCACCTTCAGCACCACCACCTCTCATCACCCTGACCTCATCCTCATCACCTCATCACCCTGCATCACCCTTCATCACCTTCAGCACCACCCACCTCACCACCCTCATCACCCTGACCTTCATCAGCCCCGTGGAGAAGATTTCCCTCCTCCGCCCGTCCAGCCTCAGGAAGTCGGCGCCGCCCGTGACCGAGATGACGAGCTGCGGGCGTTGGGGCTCCATCATCCGCCAGTAGTCCGTCAGCAGCGTCAGCACCGTCTGGATGCTCGTGGTGTCTGACAGTCTGATGTACTTGGCTGGTTTGGTTGAGCCTGGTGGGGAGGGGGGGGGAGGGAGGCGTTAGTGGTTGGTCGTAAGTGGTCGGTAATTAAGAGTTAGTAGTGAGTGGTTAGTTGTTTATTGTTATTGGTTAGAAGTTGGTGGTTAAGGTTAGTGGTTAGTAATCAGGTGTTGGTAGTTGGTAGTTAGTAGCTCGTGGTTAGTGGTTAATAGTTATTATTTAGGGGTTAGTGGTTAGTAATTAGTAGTAAGTGTTTATTAGTTGGTGGTTAGTAGTTAGCTATACGTAATAGTTGCAGTTAATAGTTGTAGTTGTAGTTGTAGTTAGTAGTTCGTAGTTAGTTGTAGTAGTAGTTAGTAGTTAGTAGCAGTAGTTAAAACTTAGTAGTTATTAATAATATCTAGTGATGATGATGGTCGTGATGGCGGTGAAAATGATGGAAATTAGAATGATAACTTTACATGTAATGGTAAGAATAATATCAATAATAACTATGATAATGTTTGTCTTTTCCTTTCCTCCACTTCACCTACTTCATCTTCTACCCCTCCTCACCTCCCCCCCCCCTTCCTGCGTTGCTCACCTCCAATCATCTCCTCCCCTCCCTCTATCTTGCCCTTCCCATTCTTATCCATTCACCCCTTCCCCTCCCTCCTCCCTTCCTTATCCATTCACGCCTTCCCATCCCTCCTCCCTTCCTTATCCATTCACCCCTTCCCCTTCCTCCTCCCTTCCTTATCCTTTCGCCCCTTCCCCTCCCTCCTCCCTTCCTTATCCTTTCACCCCTTCCCCTCCCTCCTCCCTTCCTTATCCATTCACCCCTTCCCCTTCCTCCTCCCTTCCTTATCCATTCACCCCTTCCCCTCCCTCCTCCCTTCCTTATCCATTCACCCCTTCCCCTCCCTCCTCCCTTCCTTATCCATTCGCCCCTTCCCTTCTCTTCACCTCTCCCCTCCCCATCCCTGCCCCACACCCCTTTCCCCTCACCTACCGGCGGTCTCATTAATGAACTCGATTGCCCCATAGGCATTGGTCGGCAGCTCCTGGAGGTGAGTGCTCGAGTCCCACTTGGCGGTCGCCGGAGGAACTCGCAGCTTGGGTTCGAGGAAGGCTGTTGGAGTGAGGCCTTGATCTATCTGTTCGGAAGGAAGAGGAGGAACAAGGAAGAATAATTGGCAAAGCGGTTTCCTGGAGGAGGAGGAAGGAAGAAGGAAGAATGACTTGCAAAACGGTTTCCTGGAGGAGGAGGAAGGAAGAAGGAAGAAGGATTTGCGAAACGGTTTCCTGGATTTAAAAATAAAGAAGGAAGATGCGATGGATAAGGGCTACGGAAGACAAACATACACATGTATATCTATGTATCCGTCAATTATTATTGTTTATTTTCCTATCAACTGCATCTCTCTATTTATAGGTTTCTCTGTATCTATCTACCTATCTATTTATCTGTCTGGTAATCAATATTTAATCTATCAATCTGTTTACCTATCTGCTTATCCATCTATCTATCTACAAATCTATCGGCTTATCCGTAGATCTATCATTATATCTATTTACCTATATATTTTCAACGCTTATATCCATCTGCCCACCTACCTAATTTTCTGACTATCTACCCCTTACTTACCCTTCCTCCTCTTTATTCATATAGTAGCCTACTTACCTACCTATCTATTTATCTATCTATCTACCTATATATCTGCTCATCTCCATCTCTCTCTCTCTCTCTCTCTCTCTCTCTCTCTCTCTCTCTCTCTCTCTCTCTCTCTCTCTCTTTCTCTCTCTCTCTCTCTCTCTCTCTCTCTCTCTCTCTCTCTCTCTCTCTCTCTCTCTCTCTCTCTCTCTCTCTCCCTCTCCCTCCCTCCCTCTCTCCTCCATCTCTCTCTCCTCTCTCTCTCTCTCTCTCTCTCTCCCTCCTCCCTCCCTCTCTCTCCTCTCTCCTCTCTCTCTCTCTCTCTCTCTCTCTCTCTCTCTCTCCTCTCTCTCTCTTCTTCTTCTCTCTCTCTCTCTCTCTCTCTCTCTCTCTCCTCTCTCTCTCTCTCTCTCTCTCTCCTCTCTCTTCTCTCTCTCTCTCTCTCTCTCTCTCTCTCTCTCTCTCTCTCTCTCTCTCTCTCTCTCTCTCTCTCTCTCTCTCTCTCTCTCTCTCTCTCTCTCTCTCCTCTCTCTCTCCCTCCCTTCCTCTCCTCCCTCCCTCTCTCCATCCATCTCTCTCTCTCTCTCTCTCTCTCTCTCTCTCTCTCTCTCTCTCTCTCTCTCTCCCTCTCTCTCTCTCTCTCTCTCTCTCTCTCTCCTCTCTCTCTCTCTCTCTCTCTCCTCTCTCTCTCTCTCTCTCTCTCTCTCTCTCTCTCTCTCTCCGTATCTATCTACAGAACCATGTTATCTACATCCTTACACTCACAGGGAACACACGCGACTGCATCCTCGGCGTGATCCCAGCGGCGTTGGCGAGGCTCTCGGGAAGTCGACGGTCAGTTCCGGCTTCCACGTCCTGAAAGGGTTAAACAGTACGTTCTCGTTTTCTTTGTGTGGTGCCGACAGTTTTAGGGTATGTCTATTTAATTATAGGTTTAGTCTGAAAGGTTAATGAGGTTGTCGGATGTTGTTAGATTGATGTGTTATTGGTTTAGGTGAGGCTGGTATTAGGTTAACAGATAGATTATTCATTTTCATAGATCATTTCAGATTACAGATCAAGAAATCGGTATACTAATCATATAGATTAGTCTATTAATAATTTTGATTATCAAATATGAAATCGTTACCTTTCCCGTTACATTCGTTTTAATCATTAACTTCGTAGTTAACCTTAATATGTTTTTATTCTTTCGACGGTCAGGTATGAGTAAACAGTTATGCCTATCAACGATAACTGATTATAAGCATCATAATTACATCCCTTGGCATCATTAACAACACCTGATCATTAAGTATATCAATGTCATCATCAACACTTAATGAAAATCGCCAACATCACCGCACTTTACCCGAGCCTGACTTACACTAACTACGCTTTTCGAGTCAAATGAGCCTCGCGCTGCAATGGGCGCCAAGGGAGGCTGAGTCCAGGGCGCGCCTTTGATGCCCAGAATGCCCATGATCGAGGAGGTCATGCTGTTCATGTCCCCCATGTTGATCTCCTCCTCCACCTCCTCTCCCTCCTCTTGGAAGGACCCGAAGCGGCTGCCGTTCTGTGGGATCGGGTGTAGACGTTTGATTGGAAAGAAGAAGACGAAGAAAGAAAGAAACGAGAAGAAGAAAACGAGAAAGAAACGAGAAAAAGAAAAAAAGAAAGAAAGAAACGAGAAGAAGACAAGAAAGAAAGAACGAAAACGAGGAAAGAAAGAAACGAGAAGAAGAAAACAACGAGAAGAAGAAAACGAAGAAAGAAAAGAAGAGAAAAAGAAAGAAGAAACAACGAAGAAAGAAACGAGAAGAAGAAAACAGAAACGAAAGAAAAACGAGGAAAGAAAAACGAGAAGAAGAAACGAAGAAAGAAAGAAACGAGAAAAAACAGGAAACACTCCGATGACAGAAATAAAATTACCCCCCACCCTAAAAAAAGAAGATAAAATATATTTATACAACGTGTATGAGGGATTCTCTTTCTCCTTTTACACATTAATGATACTGCAATATGAACGCGGTCCATGCTTTCATTCCATAGTTGACTAAGCTTACTGTTAAGGGCAAACTTTTCTAAAAAATTCAGTTACCTGCGTATTGGCTCCGGAGGCGGGCTTGAGGAGGCGCTCGCGGGAGAGATGGTCGACTTCCGCCAGGCCGCAGAAGCAAATTTTGCGACCATTTCGGCTAGGATCATGGCAGTATCTGAATGAAAGTAGGGACAGAGAAGAAGTTAATGATAAAGAAATAAGCGACATGAAAATATATGTAAAACTGAAAGAAAATGTATACAAAAGACATACACGAATGATTTAATATTGCTGATGACATCAAAGCTCTATCTGAACTTGCTTTATGGGCATTGCACACGATCAACAGGACTGACAGTATGGATATTGACAGTATTTTTGGTATTGCCAGTAAGCTGAACGCGTTTGAGTGTCAGGATAGCGGCTGGTAAGAGAGAAAGCAGACCGCGTGATTAGTTTCCAAGTGACCAAATAAAGACTTGACATAATATTGAATTATTCCTTAGGGAAAAGACGAAATCGTAGAAGATTGGCGAAATACACAACAAAAATCCTTGTCACTCAAACCTCTTAAAACAATAATGTGTCCTGCATTCAGTGTTTAATAAATCAATGAATAAATGACAATAAATTGAATGATATATAGATCACTCATCATAAACCCTACAATAAAGACTTTTCCACCATTTTTTGCTATTTTCTCCCGTTCTGAAATCGTAACATGTTGGAAGTTGGCGCTTCGGCTAATACTGCAGTAGTTAGGAAAATGGCAGTGCGGCGCGTCTCGGTGTGCCGGTGGGCGGGTTTCAGATGTTTCGGAAATGCATCAT